ACCGACTGAAAGCTTTGCCTCTGTGGAGTGAGGGTGTTCCGGAGCTGGCGTAATGCAAGCTGGTGGACCATCTCGGCTAGCAACTCGGACTGTGCCGGGTTTTCGCTCGGCTTCGACCTCTGTGCCGGCCTTTCCTCCGATGAAGTTCATGGCGACCTCGAATATGATCTTTTCCGTCCCCGGTATTGCTAGGGTTTCGGTAAAGATCCGCCTCTCTTCGTCTTTGGACGCCAATCGTCATGGTGTAGATGGTTAGTCTACTTAATCGCTTTATCCTGAAAGAAGAGAGAAAATGAGAGAAGAAAGAGAACACATCCGACTGAAACCACAACAGACATGCTCTAGAGGGTTAGTAAAGGAAAGAAGAGAGTGAAAAGGATAGAAAAACGAAGATTAAGAGTGAAGAAAGGGAGAAACAAAGACAAGAGAATGAGTGAAACAAAAGAAAATAAGGGGAGAAGACGGGAGGTGTCAATTACAAAGAAAGGTGTGGAAGGCCATGACCTCATAGGTGAGGATACCAATGGTAATAAGCACAAGTGAGAAATACAAATTTCATACAAGGGAAAAGAAGAAGAACTAAGGTAACTAAATGAAAGAGAGAAAGTAAGCTACGTGTGTAGATAAAACGAAAACGTGCATGATGTTGTTTTTGCAACTACTAGTTACCTACACAAGCAACAAGGCAAAGAGGATGTAAGAGAAAAGCATGAATGAACATGAGAGAAAGAGAGATTTAACCAAAATGTGTGAGCCATTGTAATTTGGACTAAAGAGATAGAGAAGGAAGCAAGAAATCATACAAAGGAGAGGAGAAAGAAGATACGGCCCACAATAAACTAAAGAGAATGAGAGAAAGAGAACAAAACAAGAAAAAGAAGATTGCAATACACGAAAAAGCAGAAAAAACCACAACTGACAGCCACATGATGCAATATGCACATGATGACTTTACGGTGATCGCGACGGGATCCTCACACTTCATCGATGTGTAGGGGAGCGCGATAAATATCGTGCTCTGTGAATGCGATGCAAAACGAAAACGCATATGCATAAAGAAAGTGCGAAATCGCAACGATCGCAAGAAAAAGAGAGCGCAATAGGCCCTTGTGGAATTGGGATTGTATCCCTATGGAAATAATATAATATTAATTTATCCTCTAAACAAGCTCTCAAAATAGAAATGAACGTGAAATCGTTCACGAACATGAAAATGGACCGCAATTTTCTTTTCCACTTCTTATGGGGCAATCGCTTTCCGCAAGTGACAAGACGATATCCCTGAGCACACGTGACTATGCGAATCGTATACTCTTTGGTATGTAGAGATGAAGTTCGAAGGGAATGAAGCGAGTAGACCACAATTTGCGAATTGTGGGGCATCCCTTGTCTCTCAGATGTTAGTAGCAAAGAGATGACTGTTCCATTCCCTCGCATCCACAATGATCTTCAGAGACTTCCTAACGTCCTTAGATGTTCAAACGAGGTAACGAATTGTGACAAACAGTGGGTAAGAAAAAGTGTGAAGAACCAAGTGTTAATCACATCTTTCAATGTCTAGATTGTGACGGTAGTGTTGCCACAATTGACACCCGATGTTAACTGTCGTCACAAAGTCGTAAGGAAACGAATAGAAAGTACCTGAGCAACGACTCACACCTGACGTTTACCGTATTCATGGGATCACACACATTGTCCATGTAGATCCAGGTCCTCGATATTCCACAGTCGCAGCGTTGTTCCTCGATGTAGTTGATGTTCAGAAACGCAAGTTAAACTGACGTAGACAATCTGAAAATAAAAGACGTTTTACAAAATACGCAATCGATGGAATCGACGCCCATAAGTCTCCAGTGGATATTGCAAATTTGGAAGTAAGATGTAGTGGGAAGCAGGGGTCTGTGGTGTAGAAAGCATGTTCAGATGGATTAGGTATCTAGTGAATCCTTTTCGCCGTATTCGTCGAAGGCGTCCAAGGCGAAAATGTTCACGTAGATACTGTGGGGTTAATATCCTGTCCGTGCGTAGCAAGGTCGTCCAAGGTCATACTCCGTGCGTTGATGTTGACAGCAAACGAAATAGACGAAGTCGTCCGCATACTCCTGAAGACTATGGTAGCACGAATGTGGAGAGATTAACGATCCAAGATCGACTCAAACGTCGTATTTTCGACGGCAGCAAACAGAAACTTGTGTCACAGTACTCCTGATCTTCAGATGTTACTAACAGGATTGCAAGGTCCGCCGCAGCGTCCTATTTCCACAACTGACTGCTGGAAAGTAGTCTGGTCCGCCATACAAAGTCCAAATTCGTCTTCCCCGTCAGACTAGCTGTAGTATAGTTCGTAGGCTATCCTTGAAAGCAGCAGGACACATGACGTCATTGGCAGACTCGTGTGAAAATTTACTCCGCTATGGGCCAGTAACTTCAAAGATTCAATGGAATTGATCCGACGAAGTAGAGTCTAAGAGCCTGAAAGATGTGGTCAAACAAGATATTAAAGCACACAGTTTCTGAATGCCGGAAACCACGTCTTGAGCCACATAGGATCGTTAAATGTGGAATAGGCATGTGGCAGCACCTCTATCCCTGGTGCACAGACCACAAGAGCGAAGTTATCGAAGATCCGTTTTGAGTAAGCGTTCCTGGATGTTAAATAAGGTCCGCAAT